CGTGACAATCCAACGCGCTAACCATTCGGCCATTGAAAACACCGCTTCCAATTTTTAAATGCGAATATCTCGAGATTGCCTTTTTCAATTCTAAAACAAATTACATATTACGCATTTGCAAATGAGTCTCTATTTGAATTAATAACATCAAAGAAAAATATTGAAAAACAAAAAAGTTTTAAAATTGCATATTTTGAATACGCTTCCGGTAGAAACCGGAAGTACCGACGACGCACGAAAAGGCGATTCTGCAAACCAGAGAGTCATGATCTATCATCTTCAATAAGTCTCCAGTTCATATCCTCAGCCATTTTCGATAAAAGTGCGCGACAAAATCGCATTTTAAAATCAGGAAATCGTCCATAACTTGGCACCGAAAGTGAATTTACCAAAAAAAATTACAGACTGCACAACTTCATATAATGACGCATATTTTGTGAAAGTGTCGCTGAAATCCGCTGAATAGTTTTCGAGAAATCGCGTGCACAAAATTTTGTCAAAAAAAGAATAATAATAATAATAATAATAATAAGAAACAATACAATCGCTATAAGGTCTTCCGTGAAGACGGAAGACCTTAATAATAAGAAACAATAGAATCACTATAAGGTCTTCCGTGAAGACGGAAGACCTTAATAATAATAATAAGAAACAGAGTAAAAACAATATGTTCCCCAACTTCGTTTGGGGAATATAATAATAATAAGAAACAGAGTAAAAACAATATGTTCCCAAACTCCGTTTGGGGAACATAATTATATGGCTTAAGATCAGATTACACGTTCCTCAAATCTTTGTTTTGAATCTCTTAACATTATATAAAACTGATATATACTAGTCAAAATTTCTAAGTCCCCAGGCAAGTTTTTGCATTACACCGCTCTTATATTGAATTATTTAAACAGTATAATTTAATAAGTATACAGGATAATAAAGTAGCAATATAATTTTTCTCAATTAATTAATTTCATTGAAGCGCTTTAACACAATATGCAGAAATGTTAAGGCACCCTAGAATTAAAAAATCAAAACGTTAAATACCGCATTATTCTCCATTCAAACGAATTCACAGCAAGACAACCGTTCCTCAAAGAGTTCACACTATTTAAGAAAAATTCTTTTATTGAATGTTTTACCATGTGGAGACTAGGTTGTCCTCTAGTTCTGCTAGATTCTGCTGCTGGAGAAGCGGTCTCACACTCCGGTCTATCTTCTTCCATACATGCTAATTAGGGTTGAGATTAGGATGATAATGGGGCTTATCAAAATTGTCTGCGCTTTATCAACAATAGTTACATAACGTCTTCTTACATGTATTCCCCCCTCCTCCAGTTTGACATTGAGGAGAGAGCACTTCCGGTTCCGGTTCCGTTGATTTTTCCGGATAAACTCGAGGATGATTTTGTGGTGTTTGTTGAAAATCTAGCGATTTCTAACGATTAAAAGGAATTCAGGTACGCTTTGTAGGTTTTTCGGGTGGTAATTATAAAGGTTTTAAGTAAAATAAAGTCATACATTGAAAGGAAGCAGAAGTTTCGTTAACTACGACCAGCTTGGGCCATTTCAACTTCACTTGCACATTGTTGTGTAGACATACACCGCATTTTATTCAAGCTTTTTTTTCTGTTTTTCGTTATCAATTAAAGACGGAGAACACATGGAAGTAAAAATATGAAGAATACACACGAAAAACATATGGAACTCGGACTTTCTGATTTTTAACAAAAACGGTCATGGTCGAGTATAATTACACATGACATTTTTTTGGCTTTGATAGGTAAGTATTGCAAATTAAAGGCAAATTTGTTAACAACTAGTAAATTGAAGTTAAGGTTTTTAACTTTTTGAAAAAATAAAAGTGGGGACTTAGAAATTTTGACAAGTATATTATATTGTCATTCTCTTGTGATTTTTAAAGGTATACTTCATGAAAATTCATGGGAGAAATTATAATGCAACAAAACAAACTAAATAAATGTATTATGTAGTAGAAGAATCTAGAAATGAGCTCAATTAGCGTCCTCAAACAGAATTTGTTATAGAATAATGATCGTCTATCAATCAAAAGATCTTTTGCTTTTTAGACGGTGGCTAGCCACAGGCTATTGCTGCTGGTCTGTGTAAACACACGGGGACCCTAGCGGCGATTTCTGCAGAGTCAAAATAATGAAAGTAGACTTATTTCGATGTTTGAAAATAAAATGTTCACAGTTAACAAATACTTTCAAGTTATTTCAAAGACATTTCGTTGATGGATACAAAGCCTAATTCCTGATATTTGCCGTTATCAATATTTCTCGCCTCATGAATATTCATTGAGTTACGCCGAACTAAACTAATTCGTACACCAACCGACTCGTATATTCGTATGCAAACTACAGATGTCAATTCGTACATTTTTTTTTTTCGTTTTTTCTCACATGTTCGAAAAATCCGTTTCGTACGCACATTGTGTTTCTTTAAAATTACCAATTAATTGTTGAAAAATATTTGAAGATTTCATTGTATGATTGTTTCACTATCTAACTCCGAAATCAAATACTAGTAATTGCTAAACAACACACGGCTGTTTCTTGAATACTGCTTTGTGAATTTTTTTTTTACAATAAAACTTAAAAATAGTTTATTGAAATTTAACAAACTTTGTCTTTTTGTTTGAATTTCTTATATCTGTTTACAATGCTATATTAGTAAAACGAATATATGTATTTTAGGAAAGAAGAAAAAAGATCACTACATCTTAATCAGTTAATAAAATGGCATTGGAGGTGTATGATGCCATAAAATTTTCTAAGTTTATTACCATTCTAGTTTTTAAAAATAAGACTTTGTCTGATTATCTCGGACTCAAAAACGACTCAACGGATAAAAATTTGTCAAAGCTATAATTATATAACGGACAATTTACCCATATATTTCATTCCTATTTAGAAACTCTAAGTTACGTGCCTCTTATAAATTTACCCTTTAAAGGGTGTACAGAAAAGGTACTCAAATACATGTGCATGAAATAATACTATTATTAGGATTTTATGCGATTTTAGTGGGCTAAATTTAGGTCAGTCTTCTGGTGTGCTTACAAAGCAGTAAATATGTATTGCGCAATGATTTGCAAGGTTATTGCATAATTATTAGAACATTAATTACGTATGAGAAATACCATCATCGCAAACCATAGCCAAAATGTACGATCCTCTCCCATTCTGGAGAAAGCTCCATGCGCATATATACAGACTCCGATCGTGACTTGAGACGGCGGAAAATAGAGACAGAAAAATATTTTGTTATTCTTTTTTTTCGAGCAGTATAATACGAGGGTTGTCGTGTACAAAGCGTTTTTCTCGAAAAATAGTAGGCGCTGCAAGATGAAATTTTTCGCAAGTATTTATTTATCATATTTTAGTGTATCTGAATTCTTTTGATAAAATATAGACAAAAAATTAATACATCATTAACATGCTTCAATGTACTTACGCACGAAAAAAAAACTGTTTTAAAAATAATACATGAGTATTGTTTCGAAATAAAAGTAACAAATAGTTATCCTATTTTTTATTCACTATCTATTGTGTCGTCTTTTGGAAAATTTAAGGACATTAAATAATTTTGCTTAATTATTTTATCAATTTATCAAACATCAGAAATGGGAAAGTCAACTATGTGCATCAATGAAATTCCTTAATTTAACTTATCCAACTTGTTTTTAGCAAAGAGGAAACTTGACGCTGCTTTAGACATTTTGACATCATTATCATCCGTGTGTCGTAAGGCGACAAAACACATTAAGGACATTGGCAACGTTTCTGGTTTTCGTATAGGATTTTTCAAGATTTTTTTAACAGGTGTAATGGTACCAAACATATTCAGTTCAGGTCCTTTTTACCCATTAAGCCAGCCTTCCTTTATAAATTTTGTCAAATCAATGTTTTTACAATTTTCAATGCATTTCCTATGTAAAATGTTGATAAAATGGCCCTATATTATTTTCAACCATACGTTTTCTCCAAAACCCATTTATTTCATAAGGTTTATACATAAAATACATTGTTGAAACCTTATTTCCGATGAAATGCATCTACTTTGGCTGAAAATGAAAATATTGAAACAAAACACAGAAAATCGAGCACTGTTCTTTAATTTTGAGTTACTTCCCTTCACATCTAATCAATATTCATTATGATCAAGAGGCTGGTTGTTTGTTTCTATTCTATAATTTACTTTATTGGAAGCGAACTGTCATAAAACATTTTTGCAAGGATTAATAGTAACATTTAATGATGTCTCATTCACAAAACCTATAGAATCGTTCTCATTCGGTCTACCTGGCTATCACCACCTTCAGCAAAATAATTTCACATATTTGCACTTCTTAGCATTCATGTACCTATTCTAAATGACGTCCTGTTGACTGTCTGGCCCCTCAGCACAATGTAAACAAACCCATCGCTGCTTTTTTTTTTATTACTGTAGAGTTGAATATTTCCGATAAAAAAACACATGTGCTTTTGTTTACTTCTCATTCGGTAACATATGCTTTATTTGTTTTCAGCGCCTAGAGAATTCCATACGGGAGATCACTCTCCATGACTTTTTTTGATAAGTGTTAAAACCTATGTATAAACCTTTTTTCTCCGGAAACCCTGCGTTGCCAATGACCTTAAATGAAATCTGATAATTTGCAATTGTTTATTTAAATGCATATACGTATTTGAAGTTTGCTATGTTTTTTTGAAGAAAATTGTAATAGGATAGTAACAATTTTAGAAAACAGTGACAATTCATAACACTTTATACTTTTTAGTACAAAAAATATAAATTTATATACTAGTATTAAAATACAGGTAGATATATTGAGAAAAATTGAAATAAACTTTTATAATTTCCATATCATTTTACAAAATCTTAAAACATTTTTTCTTATATACTGCCAGTCGCCATTTGACGTAGCGGGTTTGCTTTGGACTCACGGACCTGAAGAAGTCTATCCTTACCGGCGTCGCGGATTCGACTCCCACTGCGTCACATGGATATCGGCCCTTAATTCAGATTGAGATCCCGTGTCGCTGCTAAAAATTTTATTCTCGAAAGGGGTGTTAAACAAACAAACTCATTCATGCCACCGTCTTTCAGTACTCACAGTACTTTGATTTAAAATCATCATTTTGTCGCGTATGTGGTGCATTGGTAAGAGCTTTTGGTCTGCAGTCGTAGAATGTTCTCACACTAAAATGAATCTGTACTACAGATCTTCATTTGGATTCCTCCACTAATAATTGGAAACGTTTCCATATGAGTGAAAAATTCTCGAAGGGGCAGTAAATAAAAAACAAACATACATATATACAAACATATCGTCTAATTCAACTATATTGACATCAAAAGTTATGAGGCGTTCGTCTAGCGGGACGACTGGTGATAGAAGACAAGTTTTATTTGTTTTACTGGTATTTTAGATCTAAGTAGCAAAAATCTGTTTATTATGGAAAAGTTACCCCGTGGGGATCCGGGTTAGAATAGGTCCTCAGTACCCGCTTGATTGTCGTAAAAGGTGACTAAATGGGGCGGTCCTTCGGATGAGACCGTATAAACCAAGGCCCCGTGTCACAGCAGGTGTGGCACAATAAAGATCCCTTCCTGCTTAATGGCCCTGAGTGCCGAGCATAGGCCCAAATTTGCAGCCCTTCAGTGGCAATGGTGACGTCTCCATATCAGTGAAATATTCTGGAGAGGGACGTTAAACACTATACACTCAATCAATCATTATGGAAAAGTTAGGAAACAATGAATAACTATCAGAAAAACAGGGTGTGGACCACAACTCATAATATGGTGGAATGCTTTCAATCAATTTAAAGAGTTTGCTTTTTATTGCAAAAAAATCAACATTCAATCTGCAACTTAATATAATTACATGTATATCATATTAGATCAAATTATGAATTTGAAATTTGTTTTTGTCAGCAGGGTAATCTTTAAAATCCTTTGATTTATTAAATGGCTATCAATGTGGTTTTGAATGCTTCGTTCTTTACTTACTTTGAGACGCAACTCTTATGCGACCCTAAGTAAGAGACAGTTTTAAATTTTAACAATATTTTAAAATAAAGCTGGTATATCAAAGAAAAGCATAAGCCTACAGCTTTAGATCTAGGAGGACAGGAAGACATAATTCTTTTTTTTACTGGAAGATCTATATAAAAATGTGTGTACACTTTCCAGTTGTAAAATAATAATCTTGCATTTTAGATTTGCATGACGTAAAATATTGCAAATTAATCTTTTGCCTAAAACGTGAACAATAAAACTACCTTGAAATGGTACGAAATTCGGCAAAATACTGCTGTCTGACGCTAAAAAAGACGAAAAACAAAATCAGATCTCAGGTTCTTAACTCATTTGTCGTTAATAGTATCGAACAAACCTTCTCGATCGCATTGATGAGAATGTAGAAACAAGATGTGTCTGTGAAACATTATGCGCCCGTCGGCATCAAAATTCGGAAATAGCTTTTTTTTTATCGCATAGGTAACAGTAAAGGTCACAAGGTCATTAGAAATAACTTAATTCGTGCTGTATGCATACCAAATTGAAGTTACAGCGAAAGTTCGAAAAAGCTATTCTTAGCATATATGTTACAGTCAAGGTCACAAGGTCATTGACCTTGATGTTATTCGAAAGCGCTTAATTAGTGGTTATGTTTATATGCATATCAAATATGATATCTCTATCTCTCACGGTTCAAAAGTTATTGCGAAGGTTAAAGTTCACAACAGGCAGACAGACAAACAGATTAACAGAGGGAAAAAACAAGATGTGTTTGTGAAACACTATGCACCCGGTGGAAACAAAGTTCTAAAAAGGAATTTTTAGCAAATACGTCACAGTCAAAGTCACACGATCATTGCCCTTGGTGTCATTTGAAAGCACATAATCAGTGTAGTATGCATACCAAATATAAAGTCTCGATCTCCCATGGTTCAAAAGTTATAGCGAAAGTTCGAAAAAGCTATTTTTAGCATATAGGTCACAGTCAAGGTCAAAAAGTCATTGGCCTTGGTGTTGAAGGAGTGGAGTATGCATGCTAAATATGACGTCTTTATCTCCCACAGTTCAAAAGTTATGGCGAATGTTAAAGTTGACAGCAGACGCATGACAAACAGATAAACAGACAAACAGACAGACAGGACAAATACAATAAATGCCCCGAATCCATAGATTCCGGCGCGTAAAAACAATACACGTCTTGATCTATTGATCCTTGCGTATTAAAAAATCATTGAGTTTGTTTCGAACACTACATCGTTATGTTGTCAAGTCATTTGATATGAATTGTCCCAGATATATTCATCGCTATCTTTATAATTTCAGAAGATAAAGTCGATTTTAAAAATTTTCTGTCACCTCAATCGTCTGTTGTATGAAATCGATAACATTAAGACGAGTCTAGACGACATTTAAAGAAATATCATTCATAAACCATTTTACGTACTTTAAAACATAAAAAGTAATTTCATATACTTTATACGAATTTTCACAAGTAAGGTTCTATTTATATAAATCAAGGATAATATTTCCTCAATAGTTAGTACGGAAAAGAAGTAAGATTTTTACCCGAAAAGATATTTGATATGCAGAAGAATTTGAATGCACATATAATTCATGGACATATTTTTATACATATATATATCAAAAGCTGCACAAACCTCCAAAAAGGCAGGCATCATAAATTTTAGAAGCTATGTCTGTACCCGTAATGGTTGCGTTCACGTAGTTTATTGTTTCCAATTCTCTTGGCATTTTTGTTTTTTCCAGTAATACTGGAATCATGCTATTTTCACATTGATCATGAGAAGCCTTGATCCCATAAAGGATTTCTAGACCACATAGCTGGCTGTCCTTAAATTTCTTTGAAACCAGGTACACGATTTTCATGCTGTTTTCAATCCCGTTTAAAATATTTTCCACTGATGACACACCCGGAACAAAATCTCTGATATGATTCAAACACTTAAGCTGGTAATGATTCTCTAAATTATCTATCAACGGAAGAGCAATTTCCTGATCTTCTGAACAGAACGACATAAAGATGTGATACCTTTTACCATAAGGAAGAGGAATCTTTGGCACCGCCATATCAGTATTGTTTAGAAAAGAAATATTCCTTATATCAATTTAAAAACTATCCACTTCTTCACTGTATTTAAACAGAGACGTATAAAGATCTATTATACGTCATCTTCTTATCAATTTAAGTCGGGTACGTTGATATTTAGAATTTAAAAAGAAAGTAAAGAATATGACAGGTTCGATAACAATGATGGAAACTCTTGATGGTTTGTCAAAAATACTGCTTCTCTTTCAGTTCACAGCTGTTAAGGTATGTGGTCTTCCTTGCAGTTTTTATATGTGCTTTTTGATTTTTTTTATTATGTTATTTTCTCCAATGGCATTCTAGTCTAAAAGCTTCATGTCTCTAATTGATAAAGCAAATATTCAGCAGTTCTTGGTGTATGATCGTATATAAATTATACAATAAAAGTGATAAAACATAAATTCCTTCGACTAAAGCACTGTATGTCAACACCAAAACAAAACAATTTAAATAAAAACAATTGACATTTCATATTTTTTTTATTTCCTGATCATGAGAAGGAGCACACAGCGGGTGTGACCGGTCAGCATGGGATGCTCACCTCCATGGCAACTGATCCCACCTCTAATGTTTCGGAGATTCGTGTTTACTGTACCACTTGTGAAATAGATCAGTCCATATCCACGTACAAAACTTTGAGTATCCTTTATCTACAAAAACAAAATGATCTCTTGCATGGGACAGTGGTTCTAGAGTTCCGGAGAAAGAAGTTGATCCCTATTTAGCTGATTCGAATCTCACTTTAAGACGTTAAGACCAGTCCTTCGGTTGAGACCGTAAAAACTGTGGTCCCTTGTCGCAGTACATGCTGACACGAAAAAAATTTCCACATTGCACAAAGGTTCTAGTAAGTGCCAAGTTTAATATAAAATTTGCAGCTCTCCACCGGCGAATGGTGGCGTTTCCATATGAGTGAAAAATTCTTGATAGAGGCGTTAAACAAGATTCATTCAAACAGTAAAAAGCTATTGCAATTCAGTGCATTCCCACAAACCACTCCAAAATATCCAAAAGGTCTACAAAATCAGTCAAATTTTAAAGTTTTTTTTTCGATTTGTAATATAGAGCGCAATCTCTGATCTAAAATATGCATCTAGTAAATGACAGAAATGTTCTAAGGATTAAAAGACATTTTATTTTTTAAATCAGAGAGTGAGCTCTGATGTTTAATGGTCAAAATTCATTGAAGCTTCAGAGATCTCTTTTTTAAACCCAACCCCTCCCCCTAAAAAATAGATTAAATACGGAACAGTTAAATAATTTAAAAGTGAGGTTTCTCTCGATAGACCGATAGATAAGCAGCAATTTTTCAAATGTACTTTAACTTGATGCTAATGAAATGTATATTTTTAATGGAGAAAGGCAAATAATACATACTTTGTTTACAAGGTCATAACATTAACCGTAGAACCTTAGAAATGATCACTTTAAACGAGACTGTTGATATTCTTGTTTCCTCAGCGTGCTTGTTAATAACTTACCTCGTTTGAGAAATTGTTCTTACTTAGAGAAATATACATGATATTTTCAATAAATGAATTCCCTTCAATGATACTGCCAAATCAAAACCTGCAATCATATTAAAGGTAAATGTAAGAGTTGTATTTTTTTTTTTTAGACGACTAAAGCATCAGTGTGTTTATATCCTAAAGCACTCTACAATGGAGATTGTGTGACCTGTCCTGCTAATACACTGTATCAAAATTTGGGATCATTGGGTCAGAATGGCAACTGTGTTTACAAATGTTCTGGTTCAACTCAGCTAATATCAGGCAAAACATGTCAATATAAATGTATGGAAGGAAATGAATATAAAAGAGGTGAAGTAAAATATTGTAGAGACAAATATCTCAACATTGGCTTCTGTCCTGTGAACAACTGTCCTCAATCTGCTCCGGTTTGTTATTTTATGCAGTGTCTTCTCACTTGTCCTATGTTTAGTGTTCAATATGACAATAGCTGCTTGATTGAGTGTTTTAAGGACCGTCCATTTGTTCATAACGGAGTATGTGTCAAAGAATGTCCTTCAGAAGAAAATGTCATTGAAAATGGACTCTGTTTGACGAAATGTTCTGCGGGTCTGTATTTATCAGGAAATGTCTGTCTAACAAGCTGTTTAGAGAACCAATATATTGAAAATAATATATGTGTGTCGAACTGTTCTACATTTACCATGTTGGAAGGACGACATTGCGTCAACAATTGTTCACAAAACCGATATGTTTCGGGAAACAAATGTGTTACACAATGTCCAAATGTTTTTTTCGAAAATGAACGACTATGTGTTGCATCGTGTCCCAACAACACAGTTACCGAGGACAATAAATGCCTCAATTCGTGTTCACCCGGGAGGTATTTATTTGGATCTAAATGCTTGATAAAATGTCCCAACAAAACATTTGTCAATGAAACCGGTAAAGTCTGCATGGAACAATGTGTTAATGGTTATACATTTAAAAAAGATAGTTATCTGCTTTGTTTACAATCTTGTCCTGATCTAACTGTTATGGTAAACGGTACTTGCAAGAAAAAATGTTCAAAGGATAACCCTTTTTATCTTGAAGGATTCTGTTTGCAAACATGTCCTAACTCTTCTATTTACATTTTAGCAGTAGTTTCTCCGTTTGATATGATGATGTACAAATGTGTACCTTCTTGTCCAAAGTATGTATCTGTAAACAAGCTCTGTGTTGATACATGTCTACCAAACGAAGTATTGTGTGGAAATGAATGTCAGTCACAATGTCCAGTGTCTGATCCAGTTCGTGTGCATTTATCAGTGAATGGAAGAAAAACAACCAATATCACTTCAACAATCACAGTGAAAGAGCCGATATCTGCTTTTATAGTTTGTGCAATCAAATGCCCAAGAGATTTTTTTTTTGACAGAAACGAATGCTATCCTGACTGCCTGAATGCAGGTAGAAGAATGGTATATAATTCTACGTGTTTGGAGAAATGCCCAGATGACCAACCATACATGACTGAAAATGGAAGTAAGGTCCTTTGCTCAAAGTCATGTGATCACCTTCACTTTGGCATGAATTGTGTAGAAAATTGCCCAGTGGCTCATAAATCAGGATACAAGGGTGAATGCGTCAACTGTATGGAAATCGGGATGTTTTCACAAGGGAGAGATCAAGAATGCGTCCATGAATGTAGACATTTTCATTTCGATAATGAATGCTACGATTACTGTCCTCTTAATGCACAATACATGTACAATAAAACTTGTTTTAAGACATGTCCCGACAATGTCAGAATGATAGACAATCAAAATTATGGAAACACTAATTTATTCATATGCGTGCAGACTTGTCCCGCTTTTAAATACACTTTGAATAACCGGTGTGTTTTGAGATGCCCACAGAGCAAGCGGTTTATAATTAAAGGCAAATGCATGTCCTGCCAGGACATTGGTCAATTCGATGACGGACAAAAGTGTGTTGAAGTCTGTCCTGAAATCGGATACAACTTTCATTGTTATCAACAGTGTCCCTATAATACAAAACTGTACAACAAATCATGCGTAATGACATGTCCGAGCGAAATGCCACTCCAACTTTGGGATCAAAGAAAAGGACATTACTGTGGAACGGAATGCCCAGAAGAATATTTCATACTGGAAAATCAATGTGTATGGTTTTGTTTGCATGGTGTACATAATTATTATATATATAATGGTACATGTTTGGATAAATGTCCATCACAAGCATCATACATTTGGAAATTTGAGAAGCACAGTCAGCTTTTCTCTCAGTGTCTAGAAAAATGTGAAGATGGAAAAGTAAAACTTCACGATAACTGTTACGATTCATGTCCAGATAATTACATTGAGTTCAGAGGTTACTGTGTCTTGTATTGTCCAAAAGAAGTTCCGTTTACGTACAGAGGATCATGTGTTGCGAATTGCACCCACTACAAATTAGGATTAAGCTGTGTGGATGATTGTCCATCTAATTTATTTCGTGACAATAATACTTGTGTTGTAACGTGTCCCGCTGAACGTCACTACATTTACGACAGAAACTGTGTAGAAAGCTGCAAGAATTATATTTACATGATAGGAAAAAACTGCTATAACAAATGTCCCCCAAGTAAAGTGGAATTCGAACGACAGTGCTTGGACGATTGTCCAAAACTTGCCCAATTCAACAATAAAGGACTGTGTGTCAGTTCTTGTCCAAATATGACTAGAGGAAAGCATTGTTACGACTCTTGTCTTTATAATATGAAAACCTACAAAAACGAATGTGTAGAAAAATGTCCAGACATTTCTAGGTTTACAAATGAAGACAAATGTGTTGATAATTGCCCATTTTATTTTAATAGCAACTTTGAATGTATAGGTAATTGCCCTGAAAATACATATCCGCACGGACAGCAGTGTAAAACAGACTGCCCAGCAGAGAGCCCTTTTTTACAAATTGGCTTTTTATCGAAGAAGTGTTTGGCATCTTGTGGGAGTTACCATTTGGCAGCAGAAAATATGACTTGTATGCGTCAAGATGAATGCAAAGGATATATCGACGATTCTTGGTGTAGGAAAAAATGTCTGTTACACACGTACACACTTCACTCAGATGACAAAAATACCTGCAAATCTCTTTATCCTGTTTACGTTTTGATCTCACTTTTAATCATCCTAATTCTTGCTGATATCGCCTTTGGAGTCAGAATAATGATTTTTCGTCGGAAAGTATTAAAGGTAAATCTTTATATATATAAAGAAAAAATAGTACATGTATATTATAAATATAGCATAATATCAAATAGTAAGCTATTGGAATAATTTATTGTATTAATGTATTTTTCGATTAAAATATCCAAGTATGAAATAGATGTGTCAGACTCTGTGGTATCTTTTATCTCAAGCTCTCCAGGATATGTCTTATCGACATAGGAATAGAAAATAACCATTGTTAATTGACAGTACGTCGTCGATATATCTAAATGTCGAGTTGAAGGCCACAACAAGTGT